TTTCTATGGCTGTAGCCTTTCTGAAGTAGATTACCGGACCTTTCTTCTGCTATGCATGCCTCGGGTTAGGGTTAGGGTTAGGGTTAGCTGTTTGTGCCATCCAGGAACTCCTAGTTAGAAAATTTAATTAATGCTACTGCAGAAATCATTTTCAAATCACCCTTGGTTGCAAGAAGCCTATGAGGTCAGTATTTTAAGATGGCCATTTTCTAGATGAGGAAACTGAGGTGTAGACATGTTCAGTTACATACCTAAGATGACAGTATCCGTGGGAGTAGACTCCAATCGAAACACTTACTTGCTCTTTAGCATGTGCATACATTATAAAGCTCATTGTGTCTCCTCTAAAGTCCAGCCGATGATTCAAACCTCAGGCCTTCTCTGGTGTGCTAAAATGCTCTCACTCTAAGGTCCTGATGAAGAGAAACCTATTTATATGGTTTCCTTACTATTCAGTCCCATGCAAATATAAGGGCAGTTTATATAGTGTGAATGGTCCCAGAGAATGAGCTAGGTCCTCACCTTCAGGGACTCCACTTAGGAAGAGGAAGTAGTCAGTTAGTCAAGTGCTTAACCAATACATCACCAGGACTCCTATACCCCACTGCCGCTGTGTACCATTGAATCAGTTCCAGTAGTCAGTTAGCAGCCCAAGTGCTTAACCATTGCATTACCAGGACTCCTATACCTCACTGCTGCTGCCGCTGTGTGCCACCGAGTTGGTTTCGGCTCATAATGACCCTACCCTGTGCAGAGCACACACTTTTCAGTAGAAATGCATTCCTGTAGGATTTGAGTTGAGTCCTCTGGGCCCTGATTAAGAAGCCCTATTGGCGCAGTGGGTTAGCGTTGTGTCACTAACCATAAGGTAAGCAGTTTGAAGCCACCAGCCTCTTCCTAGGAGAGGGATGAGGCTGTCTGTTTCTGTAAATATTGTCCTGTAGGGTTTTTGTGAATTTGCATCAACTCAAGAAGAGGAGGTTTGGTTTTGGGAATTGGCACCTCTCCTGTGGTTTGGATTGTCTGTGTAGCAGGCCTGCTCCTCTGAGCTAAGGGCTCTTTGGGACCCCG